AGACCAAAGCAGAAGAAGGCAAATTTTTGATTTCCTGATACAATTAGATAACAGAATGACCTAAGAGCACTATCATTAGGAAAGAAGGAAGGAGAGGACAGGACACAGGCTATGTCCTGTCCTCTTCTTCCTTCCTTTTTTCTTTTCTTTCCTCCCCCCTCCTTTCTTTCTCTTTTCTTTTTTCCTTTCTCTTTTTTCTGTTTTCTTTATAGGCTTAGGCCCACTTTTTTTTAATGAGCTTAGGCCCACCTGTCACGGACAGGTGGACAGGTGGGCCCAGTCCGGCACTGGTTTGCCCAACAACACCAGAACTGACGACAGAGGCAGTGGAGAACTGTTCTGTTCACATATGAGAGTCGGTGCGTATCAACAGCAGATGGGAGGACCGATTTATGGCGTCGATGAGGCCAGCGTTATTCTGGCCAATGTGTCATGGAGCGAGACTCGTGGGGAGGTCCAAGCATAATGGTTTAGGTGGAATCGGCCTGAACCAGAGAGCGGGTCCTGTGGTGGTCCAAAATCTTGGTCCAGGGAGAGGGAGGCGGCATCACAGCAGTGCGCTACATCGATCAAGCTCTCAGACCCCACGTCATACCACATTTCGTACGTCATCGAAACGTTTTCCAGCATGACAACGCCCGTGTCCACACCGCCAGAGTTACTCGAGACTTTCTACAGCAGAACGGTGTCAACGTTATGCACTGGCCAGCCCTTAGTCCGGACTTAAACCCGATTGATCATCTTTCGGATGGAATTCAGAGGAGAAAATAACGTCGTACCGAGACCAAACACAGCCGATGGATTGCGCCAGGCTTTTCTGAGATTGTGGTTCCAGGTGCCAATGGTGTTTATCAATCGTCTGGTCCAGACTCTAAACCTTCTGGTAATGTCTTGGAATTGTGATGAATTAATCACTATTGTGTCAACATACTTTTCACAAAAAACTGCTTTGATCCATTTAGAAAGTCGTTTTCTAGAATGATTTGATTAAAGTGCCTTTTTTTGCTGTTTAGTATATATACTATTCAAAAAAAGTAGGGGATATTTGATTTTGGGGGCATAATACTAAAATATGCAAATGACTACGAAAAAAGTCACTATAGAACCTAACAGAAGAAACATTTCCAGTTACATGTGACGCCCAAACGCACCAATAGCTACCGCATGGAATGCAGGTGATGCTTGGGATCATCATGGGGGTCCAACCCAAGATTTGCACGACTCTGACTTTGAATGTTACAGTCATTGTGGCATTGAATTCCAGGGTGGAAACATCAGTTTAATTGTTTTAGTGACCAGAAAACAAATTTTGATATGCGTCGGCTTACCCAAAATGAAAGGTTACGTGCCCTTGGCATGCTACAGATCGGCACAACACAGGCGGTTGTGGCGCGGACGATGAATGTTTCTCAGTCTGTCATAAGCAGGCTATGGTCCAGATACCGTGATACACAATCTGTACAGGACAGACCACGCTCAGGTCGACCAAGGGCGACAACTCAAGCCCAGGATCGATTTATCCGTACCTTGGCCTTGAGAAATCGTGTCATCACAGCAAATCAGATCAGCGCTCGTCTTCAAACAGACACTGGTGTGAGAGTGAGTGGCCAGACGATTCGGAATCGACTGCATAGGGGTCACCTTCGCGCTCGACGTCCTCGCGTGATCCCTTGTTTGAGAGATCATCACATTCAGGCAAGACGTCGTTGGTGTAGGGATCGTCAACACTGGGATAATCGACGCTGGAGCAATGTGATGTTTTCAGATGAGTCAAGGTTCACTGTTGATTTTTTGGACAGACGTAGGAGGGTGTGGCGTCGTCGAAACGAGCGCTTCCAAGACGTTAACGTCATCAGACATGATCGATTTGGGGGTGGTTCTGTTATGGTGTGGGAAGGCATCACTGTTGCTGGAAGAACGGCTTTACATGTTGTTGCAGGGCGTGTTACAGGCCAGTACTACCGGGACAACATCTTGGCAGTCCATGTTGTGCCGTTCGCACGACGTCATGGCCGCCGTTTCATCTTCCAGGATGACAACGCAAGATGTCACAGGGCCAGGATCGTTACAGGTTACCTCCAACAACAGAACATCACCACATTACCTTGGCCAGCACTGAGTCCCGACCTCTCCCCCATCGAGCATGTCTGGGACATGCTTGGACAGAGGTTACGTCAACGTCAACAACGTCCTGCCAATGTCCAAGAACTTGCTGCTGCGTTGCAACAGGAATGGGACAATCTGGACCAAAATGACCTTAGACGTCTCATTAGGAGTATGCCACGTCGGATCAATGCTTGTTTGGCAAACAGAGGAGGATTTACCCGTTACTGACTTGGTTGTGATGCTGTGGTAACTTTGCTGTTTGACCCCGGGTATCATTTTACCCTTATAATGGTCAGTCTGTGCATTACTTAGTCTAACGATCATTTGGAATAAATCGATGAATGTGAACTTCATTTCATTTTGTCATTTGTTTCTTCGTCAGTTTCATTAGGTGGCTTTAATAACACTTAAAAATCAAATATCCCCTACTTTTTTTGAATAGTATATATGGGGTGGGGGTGGTGGTGATTGGAATGACTTTCATAGGGGGGCAGGGGGGGGGGGGGGGCAGCTGCCCCCCTAACCTTCGGGCAAGCTGACTTTTCGGGTAAAATGAAAAAAACATTTTTTTTTCATCTACTTGGCAAAATAAAGTGCCCGAAATCTAATAAAACACTAATTTTACTGGCTGGAATAGCAGTAAAACGCGTTTGCAGCCGTCAAATATTCCAAAATTTTCTTCGGGGGTCCATACAAGGTCACTTCTGCTTCTTCACCTCTCGAAGAAGACCGGCGCTGCTGTCTGTAAACCTGAAATTTTTTCGGGCATTTCTAGTTTTTCTTCCCTAACTGTCATTGAGCCCTATAAAACACTAATTTTACTTTTCTTTTAATTGAATACCACAAATTTGTACTGAGTTGACTATGGATTAAAACATTTTGTCTGGAGCCACTCTACTTTGTGCGACATTTTTCGAGCATTGATTATTATTTGTGAATGCAGCTGCAACGGTCTGATTGGATGGTTGGAATTCAGAATAGGATTTAGATTACATAACCATTGGATACTTTTGGATTTGCTTACACGGGCTAAAATAGCAGAAAACGCATTTGCGGTGGTTAGATTTTCAAAATTTTCTCCGGGAGGGTAAGCCCCCAGTGGGAGCCCCCCCCTCCCCATACTCCGCGACGATTGATTGGATATTTGGAATTCGGGTCAGTCAGGTAGGCTATATTGGACCAAATTGAAGTTGTTGTATTCACAGACTGGAATAGCAGGAAAATGCGTATGCGGCTGTTAAATTGTCAAAATTTTCTCCAAACGGTCCCGTCTCCGTGGACTGTAAGCGATTGATCTTTTGATTGGAATTCGAGTCAGCCATCTTAATTAGGCTATATTAGACCACTTTGAAGTTGCTTTGTTCGCGGGCTGAAATAGCAGGAAATTATGTTTGCAGCCGTCAAATATCAAAAATTTTCTTGGGGGGGGGGGGGGGGGGTACAATACAAGGGGAGCTCTGCTTCTTCACCTCTCGAGGAATATCGGCGCCGCTGTCTGTACACCCGAAATTTTTTCGGACATTTCGGGTTCTGCCCCCCTAACTGTCATCGAGCCCGTACGCCTATGATGACTTTATAGTTGTCTAAATATAATGTCTAAAAGTTAAGGCCCACTTCACGTGATTGTTGATGAGATTGTGGGTTAGGCCTAGGGTTAGCACTAGTCCTGTTTACATCTCGTGACCTATGGCCAAATATGCAGTGAGTCTTAACTTCTAGACCTTACCGGTCTAGAGTGTCGCATCCCCTTCATCCAAAACATATACAGCTACTCCCAAAGGTGACATGTCAAACCAGGGGACAGGGGCATCAAATAGATACTACATTGTGAATTTCCATTTTGTGGGATCTATAAGGTTATTCTATACGATGAAACGTGAAGTTGGTGCGTGGCTATGAATTTTGATCAATATGGATGTTCCGTATTTATTCTGACTCTGAGAGGTATAGACCTGTGGCGATTCAATTTACAAGTTATGCATAAGATAAGGTTAGGGTTTTTCAAAAATTGTGACTGCTTGGATTTGAGATAATTTAAGGTTGTGTCATGCACAGGGTTTAGAGTGATTTTCGGAGCCAACACCTATATATTGTATTCTCACATATTAAAGTACAAAGGACTAGTTCTCAGAAGAGTGAGAAACGAAGAAATTTTATAAAATTTGAAAATATACATTATGGGAGATTAGATAAAGAGCTGGCAGTTCTCATTATAATAATTAGAAATTAGATAATGTAAAGGCAATTTACTGAAAATTTCAGTCAAATTGATCCACTATGACCCGAGATTTTAGCGATTGAATTTTCGGCCTAGCCTCGATCATCATTCATTACTAAAGTCCGTACGATAAAAATCATAGTCTCGATATCCATTTCATAATTAAATTATGAATGGAAGTCGAACAGGAAATCGGAACCTAAAACAATGAATATCGTTGATTATGGTTTGGATAAGTTAATTAATGTCTAATTAATAATTTAGATAACATTTCAGGCCTAAAGAAAGACCTGCAATAGGCAGATTTAGCTCTTGCATAATGTATGTTGAAAGTGTGTTTTAAACACAACTGAGCAAGGCAGAATATGATGATGGATGTTTGTAAGAAAGGTTTCTGATTGTCAAAACTATGTTACACCTTGATCGAGGGCCTTCTGGGATCTTGAGATCCTGGACTTCAGCCTGCCAAGGCTCATACTTCTCGCAAATGTTTCGTTTGATTTGACCTACTCCCACTCAAACACTGCTGTAATGAAAGCAAATTTATGTTCCAAATTATGACTGGTCTATAGTCTGATTAACAAACAATACTTAACTGCGTAACAAAATCATTCGGGGTTTAAAGAGAGCTCCACATATGTTTACATAACGTTACGTCATGACTGACGAAATTTATTACACCCAGGTAAACAGTGCATAGCAGAATATTGCAGAAAAACTAATTGCGTGACAAACAGGGCTTTCAAAATGGCTGCAATATAAATAATACTGCTTGGAGACGAACAATACTTTCACCGTTTTAATACCTTAAATCACTGTCCAAAGTTTTGGGGAATATTAAACGAAGGGCTGTAATGTTACTGTACTTAGGAGAGATTTGATTGAACGGGAAGAATAGACACACTCCCTCAAAAGCTCAAGTATCAGAAGTCAATCCAGCAATGGCCAGAGAGGGATTTCTCGGGCCATTGCTTCAGGAATATGGCCAAGGCTATAATTAAATCATAGATCTTCAGCCTACCAGGTAAATCTGACACTGTAGACACCAGAACTCTGAGATTCTGGACACAGAAACTTGTCAATCATTCAGAAATTGGCCGTATCTCATATTATTACAAAGCTTCAGGTAGTTGCTTGCCACTATTTGGGGACGGGCCATTTTGACAGGGATTTTTGGTCTGATTTTCACGAATTTGAATTCATCCATTTCTCACAAATAATTAATAAAGTACCACAAACAGACTGTATAGAGTAAACCGTTTATATAACAAACACCAATATACAGTCCACAGAATTTTATATTATTGCACCTAAAACAACATCAGTAGACATTTTATTATGACAGCTAAAATACCATTTTAAATTATTTCACCAAATAACGCAATAGTACTTGGTATATTAGGAAATATCAAATCAAATATCATTCTAAATTATTTCATCTTAACATTGTATACTTTCAGATTGTACTTATTTTCTTGATATAATGTGTCCACTAATTTAATTTAAATATTAGGGGCCTGTTTTACGAAATTTTAATTAAAGATAAAATCCAAGTTTTAGAAGATACTTCAAATATTGATTGGCTATAAGCACTAAAATCAATCTAATATTATCCAATCAAATTACTAAAATTTGAATTTTATCTTAGTTAACATTTCATGAAACAGGCCCCAGATCTCTCCATCATCTCTGATTGCATCTTATTAAAGATATTTGAATACCACAGAAAAAATTAGAAACTTTTGTCCTTGTTTACTACCAATTTAACAAGCCAGCAGAATGGCTGATGTCTAGTCTGCCTTAATCACAAATAAATGGATGACACTCAATAATTATGTATATATCGTTTTGTGAAATATTAAGCAAACAAATTCCTTATCACTCTGCTGAACTGGTGTGGGAAATCCTCATTACAACAAAATTTACTCACGGTATTGATGTAATAAAACTATACACCAAGTTTCACCATTGTCACTTAAGCGGTGGACACACCGAATCAAATCGGCGTCGAAAGTCGCCTAGTCGAATGATTAGCCCGAATCAAACAGGTTTGATATATTCTGCCGAATATTTATTCGGCCGAATGTAGAATTCATTAGCCAGGTTTGATATATTCTGCCGAATATTTATTCGGCCGAATGTAGAATTCATTAGCCAATCACCACTCATATCGAGAAGTCATGTGATAGTTTGACGACATAGACGCCGCCATGTTTAATCATGTGACGTGAAAGGTGATGCAATCGACAGGGTGAATCGGACGAAGCATTCGGCTAGTGTGTCCACCCATTCGGCCGAATAAAATTTGGCGCAGATTGATTCCGCTAATGTGTCCACTGCTTTAGATCAAAGTTATCATCTTCCTGTCTCTATTTTCTGTAAGAGCTAAATTTTCCTATTGCAGGTCTTTTTTTTGGCTTCAAATGGTTTATAAACTGTTATTTAGGCATTTATTAACATGACAAGCCTATAATCAACTCTCTAGACCATCGGATGGTCGAGATTTAAATGGATAAGGATGCGATATTTAAAAATTTAACGATAAAATGGACTAACAAGACTAAGTCTTGATTGCCAAGTACCATGGCTACGATAATAAACAATCTGCGATAGATCTTCAAACACACATAACTTATCTCTGAATAAGTAATTTGAATGAAAATTTCAATATATTCATTTCTCGTTATCTATATTTAAATTGAACTATTATAACAAGAACGATCATATCTTTATCTAAATCTGGCATAATGCATCTTTTACAGTGCTCACTGCTTTTTAATTACTTATTTTTCCGATTCCTCTGCCTTTGTTTAAAGATGCCTTATGTAACATTTAGATTAAGCGCTGACAGATCTTGCTATAATAGTTAAAAATCAGATAATGAAAAGGGGATATTCTGAGTGGAGTTATCGCCGTTGGAAAAACAGTGTAGTCTTGATTGTCATCTCTACTGTTGGTACGATAATAAACGTAGTCTTGGTTATCCCATTTTTAATTAAATCATTAACTGCCAATTGTATTAAAATCTGTTGAAAATCAAAACCACCCGACTAAAGTTCTAGAGAGATGGTTGTGGGCCTGGTATGTAAATGAATGCCTAATTAATGATTTATATAACATTTGAGGCCAAATGAAAGATCTGCGCCAAGACTAGGGCTGGGTAAAATATCGATATAAATCGATAGTATCGATTGGACGGCCCAGAAAAGCACTATCAATAGCGGTGGGTTACTATCGATTATCGCTCTTCGTCTATTTTTCTTGCGTCTGAAATGTCAATGTTTTCTTTCAGTTAATCATAATACACCGCTCACTTTAATTACAAGGGGGTTGGATGGCTGAATGGTTAGCGTGTGCGCGCTGTATCATAAAGTCTGTCATTGAGTCGACTGGTGTGGTTTCGAATCCCAGGTTGTACGTGACAAGGAGTAGGGTCGCCTGTCCAACCTCATGGGTTTTCTCCGGGTTCTCCGGTTTCCTCCCACTGCTAAAGACCCCTACGCGCAAGCGAATTATTGAAATAAAATTGAACCATGTTAGTCCCGAAATGACCTAGTTTGTGTCGAGTGGACGTTAAACCCCATTTCTCTCTCTCTCTCACTTTAATTACTATCAAGTATCAATGTAACACATAACAAAATTGTGACTGCTTATTGAACAGCCGTTTTCATAAATTCACTCTCATTGAAACGTTACTTTAGTTTTGAAGAAATTATTGTTGAATATCGCTAAATCGGAGATACCCGGATGTGTAAACAAAGTTAGAGTTATTTCCCTTTGCAAGCTTCAGAATTCGTCTGCCATGTTTTGAATCGGAACAAGTTCATTTTGGTCCCTTAACATAATTATTTACGATATTTCTTCATTCGGAACCACGGCTGCATTATTTTAATAATAAACAACATCAATTTATGTATATATACGTGATATAACAAGTTTTATTCATGTTTTCCAAATAAATCTCCTTAGACAGGAGCAAACGATCTTTCGCAACTTCGTATGGTTTTGAACTTTGAACTTACACTGTATCCAGTCTTGATGACGACCGTGAAAATAAGTTTGTTTTCGATACTATCGATTATCGACCGACATTTCATTGCCGATTATCGATAGTAAAAATCACTATCGATACCCAGCCCTAGCCAAGACCGATATAGCTCTTGAATAATATATCTTTAACTGTAGGCATAGGTAACAAAAGTTAATGTTTTCTTTTAACTATACATTGAACCAAATAAAAACAGATATAGGTAAATATTAAAAATATATAAATTTCAGGACAGTATAGGTTGATAAACATTACATGAATATACAGTAAAACAATTATCCAGAATATAATCCAAAATAATTTATCACATGGCGGCAGTTCTTGAAATGTTGTTAATAAACTAACACAAGGTTTCAATTTCTTTAAGGGTTTTTTCCATTCTCTTGAAGTTTCTGGCAATTCTTCAAAACAATAAAATCTCTCAGCGTTCTCTTTTGTGATTTTAGCTAACTCTGTTGGTGTTTTGACGAATATGTTGGCTGCAACAAGTTCTACCAGGCACGGCATGACGATTGGTTGATTTTTACAAACATCTGGAACATCAACGTATACTAAAAACAGATCCAAGGAAGTATAAGAAGTTGAATCGAAAATATAATATTCATCTGGATGACACAACATAACTTTTTTCCGATTTGCATAAAATGTGCTTAGAAAGTCATATGAAAGATAAACAGAACCACTTGATATAAGAATTTGGCATAAATATTTGTCTGGTACATTCCATAACCATGTACGAATGAATGTTACTGGTACTTTTGTATCCCATGAATATCCTGTAATTAAAATATAAAAATACTCTTCATTAAACATACATTATGCAGGAGCTAAATCTGCCTAATGCAGATCTTTCTTTAGGCCTGAAATGTTATCTAAATTATTAAAGATACATTATGGGAGATAAGATAAAGAGATGGCAGTTCTCGCTATAATACTTAAAAACTAGATAGTGTAAAGGTAATTTGCTGAAAATTTCAGTCAAATTGATCCACTATGAGCCGAGAAAGAGAGAGAGAGAGAGAAATGGGGTTTAACGTCCACTCGACACAAACTAGGTCATTTCGGGACTAACATATGGTTTAATTTTATTTCAATAATTCGCTTGCGCGTAGGGGTCTTTAGCAGTGGGAGGAAACCGGAGGACCCGGAGAAAACCCACGAGGTTGGAAGAGCCGAGAAAGAAGCGGGTGAAATTTTTGCATAGTCTCGGTCATCAATACTAAAATCATTAATATAAACAGCATAGTCTCGATTATCCACTTTTTTTTATTTAATTATCAATGGCCATTAGCGGCATATAGGAATCTAATCCAGCCAACATCAAAGGCTAGCCTTGACATCGAGAGTTTATTAAGGTCTGGATAAGTTAATGTCTAATTGATAATTTAGATAACATTTCAGGCCTAAAGAAAGACTTGTAATAAGCAGATTTTGCTCTTGCATAATGTATGTTTAATTAGACATTAATTAACTTATCCAGATCATAATCAACTCTTGGTGTCATCGCTAGCCTGCGATATTTACTGCATTAGGATCCGATTCGCTGCCCAACTTTCATTCATGATTTAATCATGAAATGGATAATCGAGACTATGTATTTTATCGTACCTACTTTAGTAATGATGATCGAGGCTTGGCCGAAAATTCAATCACTAAATTCAGAGTGGATCAATTTGAGAGAAATTTTCAGCAAATTCCCCTTTACATTATCTAGTTTTTAACTATTATAGTGAGAACTGCCAGCTCTTTATCTAATCTCCCATAATGTATCTTTAAGAAATTTATTAAGAATCGTCAAATATTTTGGCCTCTAGCAAATGGACAAGGAAATTTATGCAAATTAAAGGGCCATAAAGCCTTTAACAAAAATAGCGGTTGCGCTCAAATTCAATTTCAACTGTCGTCAACTCATAAGGGCATATACAAATCAGAAGATCAAAACTTTTGTGTTCATCTGGCATTAGCATTGACTATATATAGCTCACCTGTAATAATTACATAGTAACCTCTTTTAACCAGACGGTTTAGCTGTTCTTCTCGCAGACCTTCAGAAGTAATGGCTATTCGTGGAAGTTTATCATTAAAACTGTCAAATATTTTGAATAAATCATCAATATAGCCTGGCAGGAGACTAATGTAACCACTCCAATACATGTATTTACCAGTATTCTCTATAATTATTGGTTTCTTCAGCTCAATAGCCCATTTAATCTAAAAATAGTGTTAAAGATATAAAGATTTATATAAGATTTGGATAAAGAACTGGCCGTTCCAAAATAGATAATGAAAAATTAATATATTGAAAATTACCTTATTCTGAGTGATATTATCACCGTTTGTAGTCTTGCAACCCGTAGGCCAGATCCGGCCCGCCTAGGGTTTAAATGTGGCCCATGGAACAAATTTCAACAAACTGAAGTTTCGATAATTCTAAGAAATTATTGGTTTCTTCAGGTCAATAGACCATTTAATCTAAATATAGTAGGGTGTTTTTTTTTTAGTATTTTTTGAGTTGTGTACTCAGTGCATCGAGTTGTGTACCGGTATAAAAATACATCAAGATATGGAGTTTTGTAATCCAATATATCGAGGTGGAGTTGAGTATCTAAATATCTTTATTTGCAAGTATCTCAATATCTTTATTTGCAAGTATCTCAATATCTCGAGTATATCTCGAGTTGCAAGTATCTCTATATGGCAAGTTTTGTATATTGAGTTTTGTATTGCATATGCTGGGGTGGGGGGTGAGAGAGCAAGACTTGAGAATTCACGTTAATTAAGGGTCTACTGCATCCACACTATCATGGATTATATATATATCATAACGCCAAGTTTCACAAAGTAAAATGAACCCTGCAACCTGTCAAGGGGGAGAACTGATGGATATATATTTTAAAACCAAGTTTCACTATAGGGATGCTCCATTGAACGTTCTGGAATTGAATTCTGTCAAACCCTAAAATGGAGACAATCGAGTGAAAATAGGAATTTGGGACTAGAACGCATGCGCAGACTGCATGAGAAATTATCTCAACCAACCATGACAGCTGAAACATATTCGTTGTGTTTAATTATGTCACGATTCTACTCACACCACCTCAATTGTCGAGGTTGGCTGAACTGTGACAGGACTGAAACTCAGCGTCCCATGATTGCACTACCGTCAATTCGGAACATTCCGGACATACAATCAAGCATTCCCCAAGTAAAATGAAACCTGTAAAATGCCAAGGGGGGCAACTCTGTTTAAAAACCTACCTGATATTTAAGAACATTTAGAAAATGGTCATATTTCTTTTTTTTAAACGAATTCAGGGTGTCTAGATCGAATGCTATTTTAAAAGCTTTCATATTTCTGTCCTCTGCAACATCGTTAAAGATTTTCTTTTCTTTTACTGTAAGTATTTGCCCACCTACAATAAAATCTTTCTCTGGGTCACATTCTAAAAAAGAAAAATCATTTAAAGATATATTTCCTTGACATTCGTAATCCTAAACAAAAAACAGCTGATTAACTGACCATTTGTTGGTTATAATCTTTAAGTGGCATTTAGCGATCGGAAACACATTAACAGAACACAGTTTTTATGGGATACAATGACTAGTTTTATTCTAAAAGCACGACGTTTCGACAAGTATCCTCTAATCGTTATCAAGCACAATGTCTTGATAACGATAAGAGGATATTTGTTGAAACGTCTTGCTTTTAGAATAAAACTAGTCATTGTATCCCATAAAAACTGTGTTCTGTCATTTGTTGGTTATGGAATTTGACACAAGGAGTGTATCTGAGTTCTATAATACTTTATTGAAGAAATACAATCTATCAGTTGCCTCATTTTATTTTCATTTCATATCCAGGCATGTATACAAAGTGGTATCTGGGGCCTTATGACAATATGATTAAAACACAGATCATATTTCGTTTTGTTTTTTATAGTTCAAAATTTCGTTTTACTTGTCTTTACTACACTAGGATCTGGAAGAGTTGTTATCATTGACGTGTTCTGAATGGTATGAGGAATTAGCTAATGAAACAGTCTGCTACTGCGAGCTTTAGGTGTTTGCTTGCACGGAACTGTGGTTAATCCACTAGTAACATCAATGCAGATTGGTTAATCAAATGTCTGACGTCATAGGGCCAAAAGCCACTCGTATCATCTCTGATGCGACCTATTGCTACAACCGGTCAGATTTTTATGTACAGTAGGCCATCGAAAGTATATAAAAAAAGAAACGAAATATAGATCTGTATTTTAATCAGATTGTTGAACTCACGAACTACGTAATAAATAATCATAACTGAACTCACAACTTATGTAATAATTATTTATAACTGAACTCATCAATTATGTAATAAATATTTATAACTGAATTACTGAACTACGTAATAAATAATCATAATTAAACTCACGACTTATGTAATAATTATTTATAACTGAACTCATCAATTATGTAATAAATATTTATAATTGAATTACTGAACTACTGTAATAAATATTTATAACTGAACTCACCAACAGTGTAATAAATAAGATCAGGAAATAATTTACTTAATCTCTTGGCCCTTCTTGCTTCTTCTACACTGGAACTATACAATACAATTTTCTCAACTCCTGTAAAAACAAAGTATAACATAATGATTTGATTAGAGTGTCTATTATTTAAAGATACAGTATGGGAGATTAGATAAAGAGCTGGCAGTTCTCACTATAATAGTTAAAAGTAGATACTGTAAAGGGAATTTGCTGAAAATTTCAGTCAAATTGATCCACTATGAACCGAGATTTTAGCGATTGAATTTTCGACCTAGCCTCGATCATCATTACTAAAGTTGATAGGATAAAAAACATAGTCTCGATTATCCAGTTCATGATTTAATCATGAATGAAAGTTGAGCAGCAAATCGGATCCTAATCCAGTAAATATTGCAGGCTCGCGATGACATCCAAAGTTGATTAAGGTCTGGATAAGTTAATTAATGTCTAATTTAATTTAGATAACATTTCAGGCCCAAAGAAAGACTGCAATAGGCAGATTTAGCTCTTGCATAATGTATGTTTAAAATACACCGCCAATGAATGTTTAATTTTAGTTGGCTAGATACCATTGTTCAACCATTAACAGATGTATCGAAGTAATGATGTGTAATTGGCATTTGTGGCTAATATATAAACTATCTCATTGCCTAATCCATAATAATAATAAATAATAATGTACTCAAGATTGATTATTTTAACATTTAATTAAAGATACATTATGTAAGATTTATATAAAGAGATGGCCATTCTTATTATAATAGTTCAAAAGTAGTTGAGGCAAAATGAATTTTTTGAAAAGTTCATTCAAACTGCTCCATTGCGACCGAAGATATTAGCTTTTGAAGGTTTGACAAGATGTGTGCATAAATTGTAACCATGGCACTGGTTGTTCGAAGCTTAGCCTCACTTCACCATTTTTAGATTAAATCAAAATATGGCTGTACTGTTCTAATCTACTTAACCCTTGTCGGTTCATGTGGGGGTCTCTGTGGAACCCATGCACATGTTTTATAGTGTTTTGTAATAACTACTGGGTACAACTTTTTGAAATTTAGTGACTTTGTCTCCTATACATTTTTACACGTAGCAAAGAGATCGGTATTCATATGCTTCCCACATGCAGAGTTATGTTACATGCAGATCAGGACCAACGCTTGAAGGGAACTAGGGGTCCGGTTGGACCCCTAACTTTTTACTCACAGTTGTGATTTTGCTAATGTGTTTGCTGCCTGATACCATATTGCGTATGCCAGAGTATTCCCTCTTTTAGCATCTGCATGATACAAATACCAAAAATTAAATGATGAATTCCAAATATTGAATGGTTTTTGTATCAAGAGTGAATTGCCATTTAACCTCTTTATCACATACCAGTAGTACACAAAGTAGCAATTTGGTGAGAATTATAAAATCTTTTAAATATACCTCTAAAATGTTTTTGGATAATAATTTAGTTGTTTTTCAGATGTCAAATATGAATGCAAATAAAAACCAAACCACTGCCTTTTAATTCAAATATATCTGTACGTAAAAACTTGGATTATAACTGGGGTCCATATGGAACCCATGATACCTGCTATGTCATTACCACAACGTGCACCCACAAGGGTTAATATCAGAGATATCCAATGACATTGGGAGTTGAATATGGTCTGGATAAGTTAATTAATGTCTAATTGATAATTTAGATAACATTTCGGGCCTAAAGAAAGACCTGCAATAGGCAGATTTAGCTCTTGCATAATGTATGTTTAATTAAGAAAAGAACAAAAATCAAAATACTAATGCTAGATAACATCCCGGGTTGGATTCAATCGTATTTAAAACAGGCGGAGGGTTTATTGCATAGCAAGCTGCATAGATTAATGAAATTTCAATTCCACATAACTTTGTAAATACTGAACGGAATTGAACCATTATTGGACTGATATTCCTTATAAAGATTTATCTTTCACAATATTGTAGTTTGCACATGATTCCAATGGCTTACAATGGTGGATTAAGTCTTTAATAGACAATTATAAGAAAAATAAAGAAAGCAGAATGATATCAATCAATGCTATTGACAACCTAACAACAGTGAACATGTATTTATTTGATAATGGTGTCATTCAGCCATCATACAAGAAATGATTAGGGGAAGGTAGGTCACTAACATTTATTTCAACCCAATTCTTGTTGCAGGAATGTAATAACCGGTCAGTTTCTTATAGTACAGTAATAAAAATAATATTTATTCTAAATCATCAACATTAGGGTTCTATTATTATTAATATAGAAAGGAAACTAGTACAAAAACTGAATAAAATCTGGTTGAGTACATGAAATATTTAAAAATATTCAAATTTTACCACATTTCGCAGCTCTATCTATAATGCCTTCTATACAGTAATCCAGCTTTTTATCTTGTAATATACATGATCCACAGTCAATCATATTATAACAAAATGGTATAGGTTTGTTGTTATTAGCAACATTAGTATATGTAGCAAGAACAGGAGGTGTGGCTTTATACACTCCATCTTCTTCTGTTTTCCACCGACTCCCTTTCGGTAAACGAACATTTTCACTTGGTAAAAGAGTAAAAGTTTTTCCTCGTAGCTTACTGTAAATAAAGACAACCATTAAAGAAAAATAAAACCTTAGTATCAAGGGAGAGAGAGCGAGAAAGAAATGTGGTTTAATGTCAACTCGACACATTCTTGGTCATTTCGGGACTAACATATGGTTTAATTTTATTTCAACAATTCGCTGGCGCGTAGGGGTCTTTAGCAGTGGGAGGAAACCGGAGAACCCGGAGAAAACCCAAGAGACTGGACAGGCGACCCTACTCCTTGTCATGTACAACCAGGGATTCGAAACCATGCCAATTGACTCAATGATAGGCCTTATGATACAGCGTGCACATGCTAACCATTCGGCCATCCACCCCCCCTTAATATCAAGGACAATGAGTAGTTAAATACTGAAATGTGGGCGCATTAAAAACATTTGATTTTAAATTTACTTCCTGAACAAGTAACTAAATACATGTATTCAGTTTTCCCTCCAAAAGAATCCTGAAGGTTCTTTGCACATTGTCTTTCTTTGCTCCATCCCATATTGTTACCCCTTCAAGTGCAATAAATATCGGTCTGGACAAAATACCATACAGTAACTTGCAACTGTTCTGCTGTTTGTATGGCTAATAGGAAATATTGTCCTGACCTATCATTTTACATTGCCTTCCTCAATCTTGAAAATGCAAGTTGAAGGTCATTTTCCTCCTAAATAATCAGAATCTCTGTGTGATCTTGGACACCATTCAGTAAACTATAACATATACTTATGGAAGAACAATTACTGATTTATTTACGCGACGTTACGAAGAAAATTGTCTCAACGTTTTCAAGCGACTCTTTGAAACGTTGCCTAAAATAAATCCGGCTCCGAGTTCACAAAACATTCTCAGAATTAAGTTAAGAATTTATTCAACATTCAATCACTGTTTATGAGAAATTTTTTGATCCAGAAACACAAAACTTTATATATAGTTTTTTATTGATGTATTTGATACATTAAAACAACAAAACTTTTATAAAGGGCTATATTTTAGTTAAAATAAGACGAACAATTTTAAGTAATTTCTTAACTTAAGTCTGAGAATGTTTTGTGAACTTGGGGCCAGTAATTGTTCTTACATAAGTATGTGTTATAGTTTATTGCTCTATCCAGTTACCAAATGCCTCTAAAAGATCGACACCATTCAGATACATGTACTTGGTGCTGTTTTGTCAAAACCAGTAAAAGTGGACACAATTTGACTGCCACAAATGAGAAGTCATTATCGATAGTGTTTAAAAATCATTACCTTTCATTTTTTCTAAAGAGTTTTTTTATTTTAGTAATTGGAATGCTCACAAAAGCATAGCCAAGAGATTGTCCTGATTTTGACAGCAAGAGTGACAATGTCAACGTTCTTTCAAGGACTTTATCATCATTACACAGAAATGTTTTCAGTTCTTCAAGTGTAACATTTTTATCAACCCCTGAAATAGAAAAGGTTAATTTAATCAATTTAGATGAAGAATGAAATGAAATGAAATGGGGTTTAACATCCTACTGTTCTGCTCCAAACTTGGCTAATGAAGATGGGCATACGCCATACAGTGTGCTCTGAGGGAAATTTGGCACTACGACCTATTCTTATATCGAATTCCAACGTCAAGGGATCTTTTATTGTGCACGCCAATGTGTACACAGGACCTCGGTTTTTCGTCCCATCCAAACAACTAGACAGCTGTCCTTGGCAGGCCCTCCATTCTGCATCACTGACAAGGGAGAACTATGCCGGAAAATCTGGATGAACTTTTTCAACCAATGCAGGGATCAAACACCCGACCTCCAGGCTATCGAGCCAGCGTCTTACCCACTTAGCCACAGTGACCCCCCTAGATGAAGAATAAAGCTAGTATTATAAAGCTATGTATTTGGTAGAAGTAATTTTCCAGCATGTTAAATGAAATCATCGTTTTGCATTAGATTCATTCGTGTGAATAAACATCCTTACACTACAGCTGTAATTAGATCATTTATTCATGCTTGTTCATGAAACCATGTTGAAACGTCGTATGTATATAATATCGTGATTTTTATCAATAGAACTGTGTTGTGTTATATTATGTTCAATCTCTAAATGCCATTCAAAGATTATATTTACATGTATGTGTACATGTAGTGGCATAATTTTTCACTTGACAACTGGCTGATGATCGAAATGAAATGAAATGAAATGGGGTTTAACGTCCTACTGCTCTGCTCCGAACTAGGCTAATCATGATGGGCATACGCCATACAGTGTGCTATGAGGGAAATTTTGCCCGGACAGCGGCACTACGGCCTCCTCTTATATCGAATTCCAACTGTCAAGGGATTTTTACGTGCATTCCAATGTTTACACGGGACCTCAGTTTTTCGTCTCATCCGAAGGACTAGACAGCTGTCCTTGTCAGGCCCTCCGTCCTGCATCACTGACAAGGGTAAACCACGTCGGAAAATCTGGATGAACTTTCTCGGCCAATGCAGGGATCGAACACCCGACCTCCAGGCTAGCGAGCCAGCGCCTGACCCACTTAGCCAGGCTGATGATCGAAATGAAACTAACAATACAATGAAAAAACAAATCAGAATCAAGGTTCAGCTCCAATTAGTCTTAATCATTCAGTTGATTATTATTACTAATTATTAGTAGGCCTACTCACTCCTTCGTTTGAAAATCAGCATACAATTTTCTGAGTTGGCATGAGCCTTTTGACTGTTTCATCCCAAATTTACACGGGTCCTTTCATCCCACTTATATTGGGTTGTTTCATCCCACAGGTATTACATGAATTTTTCAATACTTTATTTATACATTAATAACAATAACAACATGTCAATGTAATTTTATCATGAATAGCGTCCAACTTCTTCCTTTGCATACGCTTTAGCTTATTTTCCGAATATTTTATTTATACAATATGTCAATGCAATTTTAACATGAATAGTGTCCAACTTCTTCCTTTGCATACGCTTTAAAGTTTATTTTCTGAATCCACACCAATTCTCGACACCAGTTTCACTAAAATTACAGCGCTTACAATCGAGCGATGCTCATAGCAAAACATTCAACTTGAAATATACATGTAGTCAGTTCCATGCACGTTGGTTTCACCATAACAGAATTGCCCGTGATAGAACAGATCAAAGAATAAAATTGCATGTAGCCACTATTTCGACACGTGTTATCTTCAGATGTTCAGACTACCTGGTGCCTTTAATAACCCAACGTTAAAAGAAAGCATGCAGTGTCCACCTTACAACAGGTTCCATGTATTTACGATTTATTTTATAATTATCACACAGTTTAGACCACAATGTGTTACAATTCACATTTTGGTATTCTAAATTGATTCTTACATGTATTCGGAATTCTTAAATTTGGAGTTGTTTAGTTCCATTTCATGTACGGAAATTAAATCAACGATTAGTTTAAAATTAATTATGGTTTCAAAATAATATCAATCTAATTTGTCTTATTTGTCGAGTTCATGATGTATTTTGGCGAGTGATTAAGCTGTCAATATGTAATTATAAAATACCTTTTTATAAAGAAGATAAATGATGTTAGACATCAAAAAACAAAACCCCAAACCCCCCCAAAACTAACAAACTAATCTCGGTCTTGATCGGTAATCAACAAAAATCGACAAGCAAAACTTATTTATTTCATACATTATTGTTTATTTAACAATAAGCAAGTGTTTAACAGTTTATTTAACAATAAGTACAACTCAGTAAATTGACTGCTATTATAATAACAAGGGGGATGAAACAGCCCGATAAAAAAATAGGTTGGAATGAAACAGACCGAGGTGAAACGGTTGTGGGATGAATATGATAATTAAATAAATGTACGGCCTACTGATACTTCAATTTCAGTATCTATCCAAACCAGGTTTCCCGCGGCTTCGTCAAACATTTTTTCAAGGATATTCAAGGATAAATATAAGTCAAATTCAAGGATTTTCAAGGACATTTTTTAGCCTAAAGTTACAATTTTTCATCTTAAAAATAACCAAAACATTACCAACTATCGTTATAATCTCATATTTAAAAGGAATTGAAGACATTTGAAACAAAATTAAGGATCTCAACTGAAATTCAAGGATATTTTCCTATTTCCGCCAAATACAAGGATATTCAAGACCTTGAAAATGAAATTTTAAATTTAAGGATATTCAAGGATTTTCAAGGACCGCGGGAACCCTGCAAACTTTACTTACCAGCAATAAATGTTTTAGTTATAACACGTCTTTTATTTTTTTCCATTACTGACATTTTACTGCTTTTATCACCAAATAATACATATACACACACTAAAACAACCAGCACAAACAATATCCATCTATTCAAATAATAAAGCTATAAGTATATTTCACAACACAACAGCAATAGACTAGTACTACAAATTGAAAGTACATATAGCAACAAATTTGAACAAGCAAGCAAAGCATTCATTAACCACATTCCTTTTTTGTACCGTAACTAACCTGTTTAAAAGATCAGTATCTAATCCTCTTTAGTAAAATGTTATAGTAAATTGAGATGATCTGTTTTCTTATTAAATTTATTTTTAAATTTAGTAATAATAGTATGGACACAGATCACCAAATATTCCTACGCCACGAAACAAGGGCCAAAGCTATTTTTAGTCTTCTTCTCCCTTTTCCTTTTTCCCCCTTTTGCATGGCGATTTTTGTTGACTTTTTGGTGTAGAATTGAGGAAAAGGGTTTGAAAATACATTTTCTGCCAGGTTTTGGTGAATATTCATAATTTTGATGCGGAAGGATACAAGAGTTGAGAGGTTGGTTACGTTGAAATGTAGGGCCTGAAATTGCATGTTTACTTGTCTCTACTTCCAGCTTGTGTATCTCAAGTTTTTCATGAAGAACCTCATACGTGCTTTTGGGCAAGTGGTTGCCACATGTTGCTCCATCTGTGGTAGAAAGCGTTCTACCCAACGAAAATTTGGGAAAAAGTTAGAGCCGGTCTAAGATACGAGAATTAACATTGGAGTCAATGGGGAAATCTTTAGTGATCTGTGTCCGTATAAAAACACCAACTTCCTGTTTATTTCATGGACAGCCATTTCTTCCTTCTTTTATAAAAAATCACAAGGATTGATAAGAGTTACCTCCCCTGACAATTTTTTAAAAAATTTTTATAGACGAGACTGAATTGTCCAATGACTTGGTCGGCTATCCAAGTCTTCTAATATCTCTGTAAAAGATGAATACCTTCAACACGTGACGTCCCATCACACAGCGTCAATCATTGACTCATGGCGTACCACAAGGTTCATTTGTCGGTCCTTTATTATTCAATATTTTTATAAATGATATACCTCTGTATTTGAATTCTAAATGTGATCTTTTTGCTGATGATACAAGAATTTATCATCACCGTATCTGTATCAATTTGAAGATTGTTTTGAAGGTCAGGAACAGTGCTATTATGTCTACTTAGACATAATAGCATGATAGTTAATGATGTCAAAACAAAATCCATGTTAATTACAACTAGACAGAAGCGTAAACATTTTATCGTCTACTAGTATTAAAATCAATGACTCAGTCATCGAAATTGTTCCCAGGTTCAAACTTTTGGGAATTATTTTAGACCACCATTTACAGTGTACTGACCATGTACATTATGTAATCAAAATTGTGAATCAAAAGATTTTCCAACTTCGCAAAATCAAGCAGCTACTACCACTTCAATATCGGTCTCTATTCTACAAAGTATATATACAAACCTATCTAGATTATTGTTCACCAGTTTGGGACCAGGGTGACTCTACTGCTTTAAGTACACTAATTCGTCAACAAAACAAAGCCTTTAAATTGATTCTAGGTATAGAACATACAAAAGATTTGGCTCCAGGCCTTTCCCAAATCAAACTCTTAAATATTAAACAGCGTTACTTAGTGAACAAATATTGATTTATTTACAAAATTATTAATCAACAATGCCCTTCATATTTAACCAACATCCTCTGCTACTACGATACTCCATACTCTAATATCAATAACAAAATTGTCATTCTTCGGCCTAATCTATCTGTTGTTAAAAACAGTATTAGATTCACTGGTGCCCATTTATGGAATTCATTTCCTGACTGTTTAAAATATTGTAAATCATATTATTCATTTTGAAGGCGATTATTTAAATTTGTAACTGCGTAGAGACCTAGTATAGTCTTCTATATAGTAGTACTTATATACATTGGGAGCGGTCGGAAGAAATATATTATGGTCATTTCCATTAATTAATTTGTTCTATTTACATGTACCATAGTGTTAGATGATAATTATATGATTCGTGTGTGAAAACTTTATTATATTGTGATTGTAATTAATATTTTTAATTGTGATTTTGTTCATATTCTTTTGTAAATATTGCTCTTCTGTTTTCAAATTTCATTGTTAACTTTTTTTTAACTGCTGTTATAAAGGGCAAAATGTAAGACAGGCCTCCTGGCCTAATTTTCAACCCTTTGAAAATAAAGTTATTATTATTATTATTATTACTCAATGGCGCGTGCATTGTTTACATAAGACGTTACTGGTTCGGGCAGAACGGATTCTTTTACTCATTTTATTACCCATTTACACGAAATAGAAAATAAGTTTTACCTACGTATATGTATTTTTCTAATACATAAAAAAATGTTTTAGAATTTCATTTGTCGGAGGAAAAAAGTTAATATTTGTGGCTCATTAAGTCGCATCGATGTCATCCTTATCAGTGATTGTAGAGGCCTAGCGATTATTCACTTCTGATCAGTGTGAGCTCTATCGCGCCTTATCGGGCTTTTAAATTTTAGATATATAGAAATTGATGTTTTGTTTGAACTATAAAGGTGATTCGGAAACAACATATTAACATTAAACTGTCGATAAGAACTATGTTGGATTAGTCGAAAAAGTCATTGTCTCCAATGAGACGATTCAACAATTTATCCACAAATTGATATAATTATGGTCATATTAATATATTGGACACAAACAAATTAAAATACGCATTTATACTTATATGGCCCTAGAACATTTCACTTTGTTTGAAAACATAATGTACCAAAATCCCTTTATTTGCTCTCATATTTTAATTGGGGGAGGGAGGGGCGTGGATGGCCGAATGTTTAGCACGTGCGTGTTGTATTGAGTCAGCTGGCGTGGTTTCGGTTCCCCGGTTGTACGTGACAAGGAGTAGGGTCGCCTGTCCAACCTCGTGGGTTTTTTTCCGGGTCCTCCGGTTTCCTCACACTGCTAAAGACCCCTACGTGCAAGCGAATTATTGAAATAAAAATTGAACTATATTAGTCCCGAAATGACCTGGCTTGTGTCGAGTGGACGTTACCCCCCCCCCCTCTCTCTCTCTCTCTCTCTCATATTTTAATTGTTTAGTTACCACGCCAAGAAATTTTATCTCTGAGATTTACGGTAAATAATTAATTAACACGCGTGCATTAGAATAGGAGTATTACCGTAACTGTGTATTTACATACTTACAATGCACCCATTGCTTATAAAGGGCGAATTATTTCTGGCTCAGTATCCCACTGACTGTATATACCGGTATACCTATTCATCAGTGCGCTCACGTACAGCGTATACCTTTACGTACTTACTTACATACATACATTCTCAAAATGGCGGGTGAGGTAGTTGTATGTCAACTTCGTCGACACGATACAAGTCAGCCATGGGGATTTCGGATGCAAGGAGGGGCCGAATATGGCATGCCCCTTTTTATGGCACAGGTAAATGTACATGTTTCATTATTCTTAAATTTAAGTGGGTTTTTTTTAAAATTCTGAACTAATAACTTCATTGAAATATCTATGGCTCAACATCTTTATTAGCCTAGAGGTACAGTTAATACATATCTATAATTTATATCAAGCTGTTCGTTACTTCTTTAATTTATCGGATAAATTTTTTTAACTATCCACTATGGAATGTCATCAACACTCAGAATATAGATAACTTTGGCTAATCATACGATGGGCGTTTAAGAATTTTTGCGATTAATCACTCTTGGATGGAAACGTTATAAAACCACTTCGTTATTTACACAGGCAAAACATAAAGAAAGAAGCCATAAATATACCTTGGAGTTGTGTAAAGAAACTACAGCACCAAAAACTTTAATATTTTGTATATAAAAAAAAAGAAAACAAATCAAAAGGATCTCCAATATATCAAATTAACTCTTCTCGTGAGTTGGGGTCTTTGGGTTTAAATTAAAATATATATGATCTTGTTTTGTGGTAAATAGATTTTAAAAAAGGGTGTGGGGTCTTAAAAAGTAAATAAATAATTTAAAGTTCAAGGCTGTTATACAGGTAGCCAGCCCATAACCTTTCCAGAGGTCTTCTGATGTTGGGCCATATATAGATAGGACTATTCCACTCTAAGTATACATTACATGCGTCACGTGACTAATAGGTATTGGCAGATGCTACCATGCTGTCTTACCAGAGCCGTATAATTGAAGCGGTCTGATATAAAAACCATATAGTCGAGGATAACCACCGAATACTATAGGCTGATATTTCTAGGTAAACCCATATCGTTGCATGTAAACGCAGCTTCCATGATTAATGAGCTGATTTTAAGTGATTTTTCAGACAAAAAGTTTAATTTGATTCCTTCATTTATTATGATAAATATATACATTGTACAGCAAATAATGTTTTTTTTAAAACACTTCAGAATCGAAAATGAATCCACATAACCGACTAATAATTTTGTGTTACCTTTTCGAACGCTCGCTGATTATACATAGTCGCTCATTGCCTGCTTCTTTTGAGAAGCAGTGAAAACGCATTACTGATTTGGCGGGGAGTGTTGGCGAGATATAATGCGGTTGAATTGTGATTTTTGGCATGATTGTACTGCATGAAGACCAACACACGTACAGAGGCCAATTATTCAGCCACACCCACCATGCAACATGGGGAAAACAAGCCTTTTTGCAGAAGCGGATTGGGTTTTAAACCGGACCAACCCCAACATCCTTCACCCACTAAACGGCCGAACTTGTTATTCATTGATAGTATATCGGCAGTATTTTTATCCAATCTACCTGCCCATTTTATTTACCTGGCAGTCCAAGATCACCGATCTTTGCTCAAATGCCCACATTGTCGAGTCCGCTTCACCTAATAGTGAATTGTGGAATCCTTCTACGATCTCACTGCAATGAACCTTTCAGATGAAGAAGATCTTGGAGTTGAGAATCCTGGGAAAGACGACTTAAATTACTCAATTGTGAGAAAGCAGAGGACTGGCCATTCGGGCTGACAAGTGACACAACGCCATGTTTTAATAGGTTGCACATGTAACACTGTGCG